TCTCTCTCTCTCTCTCTCTCTCTCTCTCTCTCTCTCTCTCTCTCTTTCCTTCTTTCTTTTGGTGGCAATAGATTGATCCCAAGGTTACTCTACCACTGAGCTACACCCCAAACCCTTTTTTTTTTTTTTACGATTTTTCTATTTTGAGACAGGGTCTCACTAAGTTGCCTGGGCTGGCCTTGAACTTGTGATTCTCCTTCCTCAGCCTCCCAAGTTGCTGGGACAACAGGTGTATACTACCATGCCCAGTTTCTCATGTTTGTTTGTTTTTAATATGAAGCATTTTATTCTTCTTTTATATATTTTGCGGTTTTACTTTTATTTCATTTGCCGAGACCCCCAGTATGACTCAGAATAGAAATGATGGTAGCAAACATTGGTATTTGTTTCCTAATCTCAGCAGCAAAACTTTCAACGTTTCACCAAGTATGATGTTGTAATAGAGTAGTGTTGCTGTGTTTTAAGGTAGTTTTTATCAGGTAGCATTCTCTCCCATTCCTAATTGACTAAGAATTCTTCCTGTGAATAGATCTTGACTTAATCAAATGCTTTGTCTGTATCTAGTGGACTGATTATATGAGTTTTCTTTTTATTCTATTTACATGATTAATGATAAAAATATTGTGAAACCAAAACTCGTTGTGACTGGGGATCTCTGAAATGAAAGGTTTTATTTAGTTGTGACAGATGTTAACCAGAATAGGTTCAGGTCCAGGCGTTATATGTTTCCAGAACTATTAGTAGCAGGTCAAGTACTAATAGTTCCAAAGATGTCTGCTGGACCTAGAGCTAAGAGCACTTTTATAATGAAAATTAGGGTAAAAAAAAAGCATAAGCTGTCTACATTGAGCCTACATTGGCCATAGAAAAGAAGGGTGGGATAACTCAAAGTTGGGAGAGTTTAGGGTTTAGAGAACAATCCATTAGGAGGAGTATTTGTGGCTTCTGGATTGATTGAGGTCATAGCAGGATGTGATACCCAGGGGTTCATCCACCTGAATTTTGAGCCAAATTTTCAATATTTACTCAGGAATGTGGAACAGCCTTTTGTTGGTTTCAACCCACAGATGTTAGCTGATGACCTTATCTCACCTCCCTTCCATCTGCTGGAATAAAACAATTTCCYCAATATGTGTTACCTTTTTTAATGTCATGAATACATTTCCTAATATTTTGCTTTGGACATTTGCATCTATAGAACAGATCTCTGGTTTCCGTTTTTATAATGTCCTTTTAAKTTTGGGAGATCAAGTTTATGTTGGTCTCATAAAATAAGCTGAGAAGTAAGTACTCCCTTTTTTATTATTCTCTTGAAGATTTTGATTTAATGCTATTTCTTCCTTGAATGTTTGGTAGAATTCATTGATGATGCATGTGAGCCTGAAGTTTTCTTTGAAAACTCTAGATTCAATTTACTTAATATACGTATAATTATTGACATTCTCTATTTCTTCTGAGAAATTTGATGTTCAATTTTCTAGGAATTTTCGCATTTCATCTAAATTTTTATTGCTATGAAATTATAATATTCTTTACCTTTATCGTAGGATCTGTAGTTATGTTCACTTTTCCTTGGCTTATATTGGCTATTTTTGCCTCTTTCTATGCTTGCTTAATCATCAGGGTATATCAACTTTATTAGTCTATTCCAAAATTGGGCACTTTGTGAACGTTTTATATTTTATGTTTATTTCTATTTATTATTTCTGTTCTAAACTAAATAATTTTATTCCCACTACTTTCTTATTTGTTATTCTTTTTCTTTGTCTTTCTTTTTTATTGTATTTATTTATTCCGTACCAGTCACTTAACCACTGAGCCTCAGCCCCAGTGTTATTTTGAGGTTTTATTTTGAGACAGGGTCTCTCTAAGTTGCTTAGGGCCTTGCTAAATYGCTGGAGGCTGGCTTTGAATGTGTGATCCTCCTGCCTCAGCCTCCCGAGCTGCTGGGATTACAGGTGTGCTCCACTGCTCTCGCTTGTTATTTTTTATCTCACCTTCTCTCTCTCTCTCTCTCTCTCTCTCTCTCTCTCTCTCTTTCTCTCTTTTGGTATTGGCGATTGAACCCAGGGTGCTTAACCACTGAGTCACATCCCCAGCCCAGTTTTATGTTTTATTTGAGACAAGATCTCTCTAATTTACTTAGGGCTTTACTAAATTGCTGAGGCTGGCTTTGAACTTGTGATCCTCCTGCTTTACCTGCCTTAGCTGCTTGAATCCAGGCACGTGCCATTGCACTCAGCTTGTACCTAATTTTTGAGATAAAAAGATAATTGATTTCAGCATTTGTTATTTAAAAATTTCTCTTATGATTTCATCTTTGTCCTGTGGTTCCTTGGAAGTGCTTTGCTTAATTTTTACTCATTTGGAATATTGTTGTAGCTCTTTTATTTATTTCTGGATTAATTACACGGTAGTCAGTCTGATTTAAATCTATTGACGTTTGTTGAGGCCTTTAAAAAATATGTTCCATGTGCTCTTAAAAAGAATGTGCACAGTGCTTCTGAATACCTCACATGGCGGTCAGTCAGTTCTGTGGTTGAATTGTCTTTCTCTTGACTGATTTCTCTGTCTTCTAATTCTCTGTGTTGCTGGGAGAAGTCGGTGGGAGTTGTCTGCTGGTCAAGCCTGCTGCAACGGCCAAGCAGTTTACTCTGGACCAGTTCTTCCAGTAAAGCCACAATGAATTCCCTCAGAGGACTCCAGCCCACACCTTTAATGCCAATCTCCAACCTCCTCCCACTTTTGAAGCTTTCAGAATGGATTAGCTCCAGGCTTTGAAGCAAGACAACCAAGTGGAAAGGCTGGTTCCTCAGCGCACCTGGGGGCAAGTGTGCCTCCTGTGGACCCGGTGGCCACAGTTTTCCTCACTGTGTCCTTCCACTTGCTCACCGGCTGAAGGCGGTGGCTCCCTGCTAGTCCAAGAGAACACCAGGGAGCCCTTTCCTGCCCTATTCCCCCGTGTGCTCTACCTGGAACACACCTCTAGCTCCCGAGAGAGGCATTTCAGAAAACTTGGGGTGCGGTGGAGGTGGGGTCTATACACATCCATCCGTCACCTTATCTTACTGAGTGAACTTCCACTAGTCCCTTCACTACTGAAAGTTCAGCAGTCCCCGTTCCCAGAGCCACGCCAATAATGAGGACAAGGTTTCAAGAAAAAAGAAAAAAGCAGCTTTATTGCTTTGCTAGCAGAGGAGAAGCAGGGGACTCCGGTCCCAGGGGCTGTGACTTTTAAAGAGGTGACTCAGGAGGCTACATTCCAGATGTACCCTGTCAGGGGTCATCATTCACTTGTAGCCTCGAGAGCGAGCCAGCCAGTCCCCAGGTCTTCTGGCTTCAGTCCTGAAGTCGGATCCCTTCGTTCCTGGGGTGTGTGAGCAAGGACAGGGACTTGGCCTAGGATGGGAAGAAGTTTGATCTTGCTCCCCTCATGGTGAGGGCAGGAGGAGAAGACAAAGGGAAAAGAGTGTCCGTTCTAAAATAGGTCACAGTGGCAGAGTGGCCAGGGTTATGTTCCCAGCACGAGGCGGACTCTGTTAGGTCTCCTTGTCACCTACTCCCTGGTCTCCACTGTTTGGATCACATGACTTAACCCTTCCTGGGTGGGGACCCCTCCACTCCTGTAAGTGGCTCTTGCCACAAAGTGGCACGTGTTAGGCCTCAGGAGGTTGTTTATTGTAATAGCCCTTATATTTGAAAAAAAAAAAAAAACAACCCTGAAAACTCCAAATGGCTGAATAAATAATGGTGACCCATTGCACATTCACGTAAGATTTTATCTCCATGGATGAGTTAAAGGGGAAGTAGCTTGTGGAGATGTGCTGGAATCCCAGGCCTGAGACAATGGGAGGTGGAGAACCCCAGGAACTGAAGAGCCTTCCCACACAGGCAGGACTCCCAGGGGTGTTAGCCAATGCCCAGAGGTCAGTCGGTCCAGGAGTCCCAGCTAAGAAGACCAAGCCTCTAAAGCGGGGAAGATAGGGAGAGCCAGASCAGGAGGCAGGGCTGGGGGCCTGGGTAAAAGGTGGAGTGAGAGCAGGTCTGGGGGACAGAAAAAGAAACAGAAGTTCCAGGTGACACAGCAACTTATGAGGAAAGGACGGAAGACTGCTGAAGTATCAGCCCCAGGGAAAGTGTTGGCAGACAGGAGAGACCGGGCCCTCGGGCCCATTTCCCCACCCACAACTGGGGCAGGGAGATGGTCCCACAGGAGGCCGCTTGGTCCTCTTCCAAGACTCCCCGGTTCCCTCCAGTTCTCACTGTGGTTTAAGGCTCCGCACTTCACGTTCAGCCCTAAACCATGCTGCTGATCTTCTATCCCAGATTCTCGTTCTCTGGAAGACAGAAGGGGAAGAAGCACTTCTTAGGCATAACTGGTCCTCCTGAACCGGGGGCAGGAATGCTTTCTGTGGTTGGAGAGATGCCACAAAGGCTTCTCTCACGGTGTGTTGAGTCCAGTGAGCAGCGGAGGCCACACTGTGCCTCCTGGGGTCTGGCCAGAAGGAACGGGCCTGAGAGTGGAGTTCGGACTCCGGGGCTAGGGTGGGAAAGCAAAGGTCACCAGGCGGGACACCAGGACTGGGGAGACAGCGTGTCTGCCCACGGTAGGGGGCCTGGTGAGGAGGGGAAGGTGCTTTGGGGATCTCACCCATGTCTTCAACCTTCATGCAGACTTTTCCACACACGGCCACGCAGCAAAGATGGTCCATAGGACACTCCAGGTGTATCTTGCAGGGGGTCCCACACTGTGTGGTAGTAGGGGTCTTGGGACAGGATTTTAATCTTGGCCTTGATAAAACTGAGAAGAGAAAAAGCAGTTCCATCCCTAAAGAAGAGTGTCCCTCACGATCATCAGCTCCTCCATGCTCAGGGACCCCCTGTGTCGACTCCCCCTCTTCTCCCACCCAAGGACATAAGCGGTCTTTTGGATTCTTGGGATAAAGATCCAATCCCCAACACTCTCCTCAATTCCCCTGGCCACTATGAAGTCACCCCRTGGAATTCAAACCCACAGAAACCAAGCCCAATTCTCCAAAGAGCCCCGAGAGGTCGACTAGTCCCCCCATCCTCCTTCTGTGGGGGTGTGGGAAAAGCGGGGTCCCAGAGCTTCCACCTCCGCTGCCGGCTGAAAGGGCCCTTTAAGCTGAGCTCCTTCCTTCAGCACGCTGCACTATCTACCCCCACCCTCCCCCAATTCTGCCGTTTCATTTTGTTTTAACCCCAGGGCTTCCGTCAGGCATGCAGTCTATTTCTCCTKGGTATTTCAGTGCTCTGAAATACTCAACTCCTTAAAAAAGGGCCATGTGTTAAGAAATAATTAGTAGCCACTTCCCAATTTGGTGTTCAGCCTGGAACACTCAACCAAGGACTTACACTCCTGGCACCCCCTCTTGCAAGCTCTGAATCCTCTGGACCTCCTCAAAAACTCAGTGTGGCCTCCACAGTCCCCCAACACACACAGAGACACCACATTACTTGCAGTGTCAGGAGACCCTCAAGGTTGAGATCGGATCATTTTACTTCCCCTGGGTATCCTGGCTTRAAAAAAAGAACCCGTGTTTCTCTATATGGTCACCCCTGGCTCCTCTCTGCAACCGGACTGGGGAAAGTCCTTTAATTTTCCATCCCCTCTTCACTTTGAAACCCAGCCAAAATACCTACGGTAATCCAGAAATTCGATTTCAAAGTGAACTCTGTCTTTCAATTTCCCCGACACTGGGAGCACCACCCCGCCGAGGAGCAACAGCAGCTGGAGATGCAGCCACTTCATGATGCTGGCTCTGGACCTCTGAGCTGCAGCTGGCAGGAGACCCAGGATGTCAGCCGGCCCTGCTGGGGGCAGAAAGAGGTTCCAGCAGGAGCGGAGAGCACGTGACCGGCCTCCCGCTGCCCTCTGGTTCTGCCCCTCTCCACGCCCTGCCAGAGGGTGCTTCCTGTGAAATTCTCTCACATCTCAACTCCTCCCATTGCAGAAGTGAATTCCTCATGACTTTATAAGTTTTTTTTAGAAATTTGAAAAACAGAAAAGTACAAAGAAATGTGATAATAAAAGTAATAATATCCAGAGATAACACCTATTAATAATTTAGTATGTTTTCAGTCTTTCTAATACATCAATATGTAAGTCTTCTACATTTATATTTAATCTTTACCTCTACCCACATACAATCTAGAGCTCCATCTACATGATTTTTTTTTGTTAAATTGGTGATCGGATAATACATGTCATTTTAGCATGTTCCCGTTTCATCAAATATTTTCTATAATATCTTTTTAGGGAAGTTCCATATATTTTCCTTGTGTATTCCACAWCCAAGTGCACAGATCATTAGTGAATTTTCATAAAGTGAACATATAATGATATAGGCACCACCCAGCTCAAGAAAGAAAGAACACATAATATTCCTCTCTCTATCCCCCCCAAAATAATCACTATTGTGAATTTTAATACCATAAACTAGATTTGTCTATTTTAAACCTTACAGAAGTGGAATAATACAGTGCATATTATTTTCTGAGACTTTTTTTGCTTAATTCAATGTTRGAGATTCTGTCTTGTGGATGTGTTCAATTTAATTAATGTATAATATTTCATCGATTGGATTTAACATAACAGTTCATCCATTCCACTTTTGATAGCTATTTGGGTTGTTTCCAAGTAACAGTGTTATGAATGCTTCCACAACGATTTTTAGATGTCATTAAGCATTCACATACCATTGGCCCTCCAYGTCTGTGGGTTTCACACCTGCAGACACAACCAAACCCGGATCCAAAATATGCCTATACTGAACATGTTCAGACTTTTTTTTTTTTCTGGTCATTATCCCCTAAACAATACAGCAAACAACTGTTTACATTATATTAGTTAAGTAATCTAGAGATGACTTAAAGTACATGGGAAGATGTATGCAAATATGACACTGAAATATCAGGAACTGGAGCACCCATGGAACTGGAGCACCAACTGGTACCTGGGGGAGGTGTGTCCTGGATCGCATCCCCCGGGGATGCCAAGGGTCAACTGTACATTTTTCTGATAGGTATAACTAGAAATAGAATTTTGAGTCATGAGCTCTGAATATTTTCAGCTTCAGTAGCTCTGCTGTGTACTCCCATCAGCAGAGAATGAGAGTTCTAGAGACTTCACATAGTCTTCAACTTTTACTATTTTTTTAAAGTACTTTTCATTTTAGCCCTCTGTTTTTTTTTTGTTTTTTTTTTTTTTGTGTGTGTGTGTGTGTGTGTGTTATGGAAATCTCGTTCAGCAAGAGACTACACACCTCTCGGAGGGTTGGAGAACTCAGTGTATTTCCTCTGGCGGCCCCAGATGAGCGAGTGTTCTGAAGTTCTGGGCCCCGAGCAGAGAGTACACGGGGCTTCTATAGGAGATCTGACATCATATCTTAACTATTACAACATGGATGGGTTGGAATTCTTGGCCTACCTGACCTAAGACCATGCACAGGAATTTACCATAAGTAGTTCCCAGGTATAGAACAAAGACAGTAAAACACCTGTGAGTGTTATCACGAGGTGGCCTTCACCACAGGCAGCAGTAACTCAAGGTGACTTTATCTCCCTGAGAGCCACATTTCTAGGAACTAAGCCAAGGCGGGCATAGCTTAGACAGCAGTTAGTTGGCCTAGCAACTAAGTGGTGTAGTCACATTCCTACAGAGTTCAGAAGTTTCAAAGTGTAAGAAAGGACTCTTTGCAGGCACCTGTTGAATCTCTTGATGTTTACATTTCAAAAGGGGGACTCCTGGAGACAGCTATTTACAGTCCAATGGATACAGACAGGCTGGGGCGGGGTGGGGAWGAACCCTTTCCCTAGGAACTGGTTCTTTATCATAATGGTCTTATAATTGCATTTTACAATCAGGTCTGGTATCTCCGCCACAGCAGTTTGTGCATTTTCTCATGATTAATGAATTTGGGCATCTTTTTATTACCATCCATTAAACTTTCAGATACTCTTATAATTGCCTCTTCAAGTCTTTTTTGCCTACTTTTCAATTTTCTGTCTTTATTTGTATGGTAAACATTCTTCATGTGCTCTGAGAAGGTGTGTGCTTTATCAATACCTTCTCCCAATCTAGAATTTGCTTTTTTAATATCTTAAGTGTGCCTTCTTTTGATAAACAGAGATTCTCATTTATATGTAGTTCAATTTATAATTTTTTTCACATTTAAAAAGTATTTCCCTCCCCAAAGTTATGAAGATAGGCTTCGTGTTATTTTCTAGCATCTTATGTTATTACCTTTGATGTTTATAACCTAAATCATAGATTTAAGTTTATTTTAGGGGCTGGGGATGTATTTCAGCGGTAGAAGTCTCGCTTAGCGTGCATGACCCTAGATTCAGTCTACAGCACTGAAAAAAAAATTTAAAGGTGAATACTTTTAAGATGGGTGTTTATATTTCACTCGTTTTCTTTTTAATTTTCTTCCTTCTTTCTTTGAGTATAATTTGTTTTCTCTTTCCTTATTTTTCTTTCTTTTCTTTTTTGTACTGGAGATTGAACCCAGGGTCGCTTTACCATTAAGTTACATCTCCAGCCTTTTTATTTTGAGATATGGTCTTTCTAAGTTGCTTAGGGCCTCATTAAATTCCCCATGCTGGCCTTGAACTTGTGATTCTCCTGCCTTAGTCTCCCCAGTATGTGGGGTTATGCGTACCACCATGCCCGGCCCAGACTTCTTTCTTTTCTAATATTTAAAATTACAATACTTTTTGCAGTTAAAACTTTAAATTGGGGCTGGGGATGTGGCTCAAGCGGTAGTGCGCTCGCCTGGCATGCATGCGGCCTGGTTTCAATCCTCAGCACCACATACAAATAAAGATGTTGTGTCCGCCGAAGACTGAAAAATAAATATTAAAGAATTCTCTCTCTCTCTCTCTCTAAAAAAAAAAAAAAAAACTTTAAATTTCTCTATCAAACATATGGTACTTTTTGATAAATATTTTATATGCATTCGAAAAGAATATGAATTTTATTGTGTGCAGTGTTTTATAGTATATCAACTAGGACAAGGGTTTTTGATTCCATGTTGTTCAGGTCTTCCATTAAAAAATGCTTTTTTGTGGGTTTGTGTTTGTTCCTATCATTAGTTAAAGTGGTATGTTCAGATATCACATTCTGATTTTCCATTTGTTAATTTCTACTTTTTTCTGCCAATTTTTTTTWAMYTTTTTTTTTTATTGGTCGTTCATAACATTACATAGTTCTTAATACATCATATTACACGGTTGATTCACGTGGATTATGAACTCCCGCTTTTACCCTGTATACAAATTGCTGTATCACATCAGTTTCCCTTCCATTGATTGACATATTGCCTTTCTAGTGTCTGATGTATTCTGCTGTCTGTCCTATTCTCTACTATCCCCCCTCCCCTCCMGTCCCCTCCCCTCCCCTTTTCTCTCTCTACCCCTTCTACTGTAAATCATTTCTTCCATTTGTATTATCTTGTCTTRCCCCTCCTTTCCTCTTATATGACATTTTGTATAACCCTGAGGATCGCCTTCCATTTCCATGCAATTTCCCTTCTCACTCCCTTTCCCTCCCACCTCTCATCTCTGTTTAATGTAAATCTTCTTCTCAAGCTCTTCGTCCCTACCCTGTCCTTGTTTACTCCCCTTATATCAAAGGAGTCATTTGGTATTTGTTTTTTAAAGATTGACTAGCTTCACTTAGCATAATCTGCTCTAATGCCATCCATTTCCCTCCAAATTCTATGATTTTGTCATTTTTTAATGCAGAGTAATACTCCATAGTATATAAATGCCACATTTTTTTTTATCCATTCATCTATTGAAGGGCATCTAGGCTGGTTCCACAGTCTTGCTATCGTGAATTGAGCTGCTATGAACATCGATGTAGCAGTGTCCCTGTAGCATGCTCTTGTTAGGGCTTTAGGGAATAGACCGAGAAGGGGAATAGCTGGGTCAAATGGTGGTTCCATTCCCAGCTTTCCAAGAAATCTCCATACTGCTTTCCAAATTGGCTGCACCAATTTGCAGTCCCACCAGCAATGAACAAGAGTGCCCTTTTCCCCGCATCCTCTCCAGCACTTATTGTTGTTTGACTTCCTAATGGCTGCCAGTCTTACTGGAGTGTTTTCTGCCAATTTTTGCCTAATGTATTTGATGCTACATTACTTGATATATCATGTAAAATCACTGAGTACRTATGGTAGATTGACAATTTCACTGTTATGAAATGTCCCATTTGTCTCTAAACAATGCTTTTTACTTTAGAGGCTGATTCATTTCATATCAACAGACCAATATGAAGCTTTGGTTAGCATTTGCATAGTGTATCGACCTACATTCTTCAACTTCCAGATTTTATATTTAAGGCAAATCTTTCAAACTTTAAAACAGATGGCTTAAGCTGCATATTAGTGGATTTTATTTGTTTATCTGCTCTGACAGTCTTTTATTTGGAATATTAAGGCTGTTTATATTTAATGCCATTAATGGCATATTTGAGTTTCTATCTACCAATTACGATGCAATTTCTGTTGTTCCATCTGTTCTATTTTTTTCTCTTTCTTTACAATTGCGCTTTGGATTAATCAATAATTTTCCCTATAATTTTATTAAACTTCCCGTTGCTTATTAATGATACAGACTTTTACATTACAAAGTGCATCTTTGGTTTACTACTGTATAAAATAAATTAGACTCTTATCACTACCAAGGCAACACCAAATCTTCAAGCACTTTAACTCCATGTACCAAGTCATATGTTTCGTGATACTT